GGAGTCGTAAATCAGGAAAAGTACAACTGATTTCAAAAGCCCCTCTCCCCAAGCCAGGCTTCTTTTCTACTATTCTAAGTCTACAAAGCAAAGCAGGCTCTAAGGAGATACACAGTGATGTAGACTGGCACCATAGCCACAAGGATGGACTCACCATGCTGGTGATTGTAAGCATGGTTCTGGGCTGGGCAATGCTTCCTCCTGTTGTTGCCTAAGGTGACCATGAGTCAGAGTGGAGTCCATGGCAGCTACTCTCTCTATCAGCTCTGCACAATGCAGAGTGCAGGGCAGGGGAGAGGCTGTGAAGGCACAGTATGGGGAAGGAGACCCACTGTGCACCGGTAATCTCAACTGTTTCCTCTTTCACACCCCTTCCCCATATCTGGCCTCCACTAGTTCCCTCTGCAGACCTCCCGATCTTGACAGAAGGTCCATATTTGCAATTACACCAGAATTCCCTCAGTGTAAATTCTGTGTAAACATGGCATTTTCTTTCTTTAAAGGAATACATGCAACTCTCTAAGAAATATTACTCTATAGAACCTCAGGCAGTGGATTTCCTAGAATGTGCAGAAGAAGCCAGAAGAAAGATTAATTCCTGGGTCAATACTCAAACCAAAGGTAAAACTAAGAAAATGTTTTGTGTCCTTCTCTCCACTTAGAAAACTCTGACACTAATTAACAACCACCTACCAGAGTAGTTGTGAGAGGTGATGGTAAGCAGGTGATCAGAACCCCCTTAAGAGACTCTCTTTCACTCCATTTTGAATGAAATAACTCACACACAACTGCAAGACTCAGGAGAAGCACTATAAAAGGAAATGAAAATTTTCTTTCCAAATATGATAGTTTCATTTTTAATTTTAAATGCAGTATTCCTTAATTTTTCCTCGGATTTCACAAACCTGAGAAATTTGACCTGGTTTCAAATAAATCTAGAGAGAAATTCAAGCTTGAAGATAAGCATCTCTGCAGTTTGATAAACGAAGATATTGAGTTGGTTAGCTACTCGAAGAACTCAAGAAATCATAATAGCTTCACCGTTCTCGATCATGAAACCCAGACATATCTTGAAACCTAGACATATCATGAAACCTAGACATATCATGTCTTCTGCAGGCAAAATTCCAAACCTGCTACCAGAAGGTTCGGTGGACGAGGAGACCAGGATGGTTCTAGTGAATGCTGTCTACTTCAAGGGAAAGTGGAAAACTCCATTTCAGAAGAAACTAAATGGGCTTTATCCTTTCCGTGTAAACGCGGTAAGAGGCAACAAGATGCATTTTCCTAACATATATTTTGGGGCCTTAAACAAGATAAAAATGGAAAAATTAGAGGCCACTCAGTGATGCAGCTAAATGACTTGCTAGTTGTAAGTTATGCCCTTTGGGCAATTGATGAACAACATCACTCAGCAATTTATGAGAAAAGAGCTCTGGTGGCACAGTGATTGAACTCTCAGGAGCTAACCTAAAGGTTGGCAATTCAAGCCTACTAGCTGCTCCATGGGAGAGAGATGTAGTAGTCTGTTTCCATAAAGAGCACAGCCTTGGAAACCCTGTGGGACAATTCTGCTCTGTCCCATGGTATCACTATGAGTTTGAATCAACTCAAGAGCAATGGGTCTTTTTTTTTTTAAATTTATGAGAGGCAGGATGAGTTATGGTGAAGATCATAAGCCTTCCTTGAGTTAAGTGTTGGTCTGTCACTTACCAACTGGCACCTTCTTAATCTTCCATGTATTCCATTTCTTGATCTGTAAAACTGGCATATATAATTATATCCAAGTCAAAATATTGCTGTAAGGATTCAATGAGATTTGGCAGAGTTCCTGGCCAATCTAAAGGAGCCCTGGTGGTGAAATGGTTCAGTGATTGGGTGCTAACCAAAAGTTTGGTGGTTCAAACCCACCCTGTGGTTCCATGGGAGAAAGACTTGGCAAACTGCTCCCATAAAGGCTGCAACATAGAGAGCTATAGAGGGAGTTCTACTCTGTCTCATGGGGTCACTGTGAGTTGGAATTGACTTGATAGCACCTAACAACAACAAAAAGAAGCTTGCCCATAGTGGATACTCAACAA